AGCTTTCTCCAATAGCACTCTATGTGGTTGTACTCACACTCCAAAGTTGGGAACTTTGTACAGGGAATTTAGAGAGCAGTTAAAAGCAAGCCCTTTCCCATGGAGAACACCCATCTCTGTGGCTAAGGGGAACTCTGGCACCCCCTGAGTCCATAGTCCCTTCTCCATGTCTGACTTCTCCCAAATGCAATCCAAAGTAGGATCATTTAGGGTTCACCTTTGTTAGAGAATTCCAAAAGCCCACTGAGGCCTTTGGCTAACCTGGCAGGTTTATCTATATCATCCTGACCACATGGTTCATGAAAGGTCCTGTATCTTGCCTTTAGCAAACAGCCCATCAGTTGAAGCTCATGCTTGTAACCCAAATACAGTCTGCCCAGGCTGCGTTACTGTGCCTGACTCAGAGTCCTGCTGGTCATATTGGGCCACTGGTGCAGGGGATGACAGAGGAAGGACTCATGAAAACACATAATTTTTTACCTGTTGAAAGAGGTGATAAAGGCTATGTGTGTGTGAGAGAAATAAGCATGTGTGAGTGTGTGGAGGCCAGAGGAGGTTATCACTGTTCCTCTCTATCACTCTCTACCTTATTGAAACAGGGTCTTTCACTGAACTCACTATTTTGGGGGTGAGGTGGGGGGCACAAAGCCACAAAAAGCCACCCATCTGTGTTCCTTCCTTCCCACCAAGTACTGGGGTGACTCGTATGCACAGTCATACTGGATTTTAAATGGGCTCTGGGGCTGTGAACTCAGATTCCCATGCTTGTGTAGCAAGTGCTCTTATCCACTGAGAATGGGCTATCACTACAGCTGTTAACTATAAGATATGGAAAGCAATGCAGGGGCTTCTTAGTAGCCTGCTACCTTTCAGTCTAGAATAACTGAAACTTCTATGAAAATAAACTAGCCTTAATCCTGAGAGTCCAGAGGGCCAAGCTGTCCTGGCCATAGTTTTATAAGCCAAGACTTCCCAACTATGAGTTAAAAGCTTCAAACACTAGACCAGCGGCTGTAGACTCCATCTTCAACTTATTGTGGCCCTTAAGTTCTTTAATAATTGGGAGGAAACCTTTGGCCAAAAAGGTCAAAGTGGAAGAAAAAGAAAGGGATAAAGGGCAGGAGCACTTAATGGCAGTAGTCCTCCCTGCCCATGTCAGGAAATCTCAGGGCTCTACCTAGAATTGAGGAAGCTAACCTGGTCTCCAGTCAAAGGGTTCTTTCATGCTATTGTTGTGTCTAGCCAGGACATTTTATCCGTGAGTCTCCGATGTTACCAGGCTATAGGCCTCACCCATGTCCATGTATGATCTTCTAAGTAGAGGCCCATTGAAGGTGAGATTGTCTCTCTTTCCCTAGTGCTGGATCAAAGAAGGACAAATGACCCAGACTCTGTTCCTTGACTCTGAGGATCTTTCTTTGAGGAATATATGGCTCTGGGGCTGTGCAAGTTCCTGTATTCTCGAGGTCTGTGGATGTCCCTTAGATAACTCTATATGTGAAGAGGAAAAAAAAATCACATTCCTCTCTGATACTGGGGCTAAATT